GCTACATAGCCAGGATATTTAAATAAGTATATAAATAAAAAGCTTAGGAGGTGATGTGCTAGACTCTCCTGTGTGCAGCAGGAGCAGCTGAGGCAATGGCAAATTTACATTTGACTAGGTCGTTCAGATAAGCAGGTTCTAGAAATAGGCATGTTCTGCTGTACAGAAAATGACTCTTGTGGTAGCACCTCACCGTCACTAGGTGAGTTGCCACCAGCCTCCTGATCTGACTCATTCCATCGTGATGGGTGTTATTGATTAGCAACAAGACATGGCCCAATCAATGCGTGTTACAATAGCAATAAGTCTCAAAATGCACTTAACCTATCAACTCTCTACAGCGATGCCCCAATTACCTTTGCTAGTTTCAAACAGCTTAGCCTTTGATTTTTATGAACTGCAAGAGGAAGAGGAGGGATCCTGTGTGGTCCCTACAACAGGGTAAAGCAGGGCTCACAATCCAAGCTCTGTCCCTAGATCTGCTGCTGCCTGACAGTGACCATTTTTCAGATAACAATGTTTTCTTTGCTCGTAATGTGCCTTTTTTTCCCCCCTGCTTAATCTCAAAACAATCCCGTTTCCTAATCAGACTGCACAGCACCTAGAATAAAAAGGTTTTTAACTGAGGGCCTCAAAGAGCAAAAATATCTCTACTGCTGCATTTCACACATGTCTATGGAAGAGCAGGAGCAGCTGCGTCACACTTGGCAGCAAGATTGCCTCCCTCCCCAGGCAGCAGCGAGGGAGAACCTGAACGTTAATGCGGTTGTCTCTATTCTAGGTATAGAAGAAAACAATTTATATCCAAATTAGACCAAGTCTCCTCTGAATACTGTGAACCTAAGAATGGCAAAAATAACCACCTCCATCAAAGACTTCATTCTAGCAGCAGCTTGAACAAAACACGTTCACAAGAAGTATGATAAGAGAAAATACAGCAGAGCAGAGCCCAGGGAACCAGCACATTACAGGGCTCAGGGGGAGCCCCTGGGAGTTTCACCACCTGGAAATATCCCCATGCAAAAAGAACACGCCAGCCTGCATAAAACCTCCCGCTAACGAACGCCCGCAGCTGCTCCAGGGCAAGAGCAGAACCTGGCACTTGGGTGAGAAGCTGAAGCCGCCCAGGGGCCTTTGTTGCCAGACAGAGGCTTTGGGAGAAGGTGCTGTGGGCAGCGGGGCTCCCCACGGCGAGGAGACCCGATCCTCGCAGCGGGGACAGGGAAGGGCGAGGCCTCCCGGCCCCGCCGGCCCGGGCAGCGGGAAAGCCGCGGGCAGCGCCTGCTCGGGCCCGGCTCTCGCCCCGCACACGAGTCCCGGCTGCGGAGGAAAATCGTCCCCCGGCGGTGCGGGCCGCCCTCGCGGCCGAGCCCTGCACACCTGCCCCACGCCTTGCCCGCCCCCCTGGCCGCGACCTGGCGGGGAAGGAGCGAGTCCCGTCCCGGTCCTGCGCCGCGGAGCCCCGGGGCCGCGGTGCGGGCGACAGCGCGGGCCCCGCGTTACCTGAGTCACGCGCCACCGCCAGGCCTGGCCCCCCAGCGCCCGCAAGGAGCGCAGCCTACGCAGGTTGCGTAGCCGAGGCGCTCGGCGCAGCGCATGCGCGCTGGGGCCGCGGGCGCACGAGACGCTCCGGGCACATGAGGGAGCAGTGCGCAGGACACCCTGCCCTCGCGGCTTCACCCGCCGCCAGCGCGCATGCGCTGCAGGTTGCCGTGACCTCAGCGCGCTGCGCACGCACATACAAATGCGCGTACGTACGTACGTACGTCGCGTCTCCACCCCCCAACAGCACACACATACACACACACTGTCTCCCCCGGCCCGGTAACCGGGGGAGTGACGGCGCCGGCGAGGCCCGAGGGTGAGTGAGGGGCGGGGGGCGGCAGGACCCTCCCAGCGGCCAGCGGGGAGGAGGCGGCGGCCCCGCGGCCTCGCGCGGCTCTGGCAGCCGCACAAAGGCCCCGCCTCTGCCCCGAGGCCCCGCGGCGGGGAAGGGCCCGGTCCTGGCGCTTCCCGAAGGCGGGGGGGACCCCAGGAAGGGCGCGAGCCCCGGCAGCGCTGGAGTAGCAAACTCCGTGGCGCTTTTCACTGCTGTCGCCTAGGAGCCCCTTGCCCCGCGGGGCGGCTGGGGAGCCCCGGGGCGGTTTGGTGGAGGAAACTTCTCTTGCAGTCGTTCCCGGGGCGCAGTGAGGGAAGAGGGGGCTTGGGAAGTGCAGGAAGGAGGAATCCTTCACACTAGGCTTGATGACTTGAAGCAAATCTGCCCAGCGCAGCAGCAGCAACATAAGAGCGGCTCTGCATCCGTTCTGCTGCACTTTCCGCCTTCTCATATCGCCCGTCTGCAGGGGTGAGGGCTGCARGGTGCTCCCTACGAATGGGATGTCAGGATATTGGATCCACTTCCACTAGGATGAACTGAAAGCGGARTTTTCCCCCATTCCCTAGCAAGCTCTGTGGTCTGGACTTGGGATATGCAGAGCAGATTGCAAGCTGGGCAATGCTGTAGCAGTGTTTGCTCTTGGGTGTCTGTTSAGGCTGTTTATCTCACCTGTGAATTTTGATCTTATTGAAGGAGTCTCTGTGGATGCCAGATTTTGTTAACAAGGCTGTAGCCTTTGGGCCAATTTATTCAAAGCACTCAAAAGTACTGAGTGTCATGCTCAGTTTTTGGCTGCCCTAAGGGTATGACTTGACCAGGCAGATGAAATACCAAAGTACTTGGAACAGAAGGCATAAATCTTAGTTTATCATGACAGTCTTCTCCTAACTTAGAGAAATTAATTTTCTATAGACTTTAAGAAATGTTTTTGAAAAATTAGACTAGAGAAGAAATGTATATGTCTAAGAACACTTGCTTAGGAAGAGGCAGCTGGCTTTTTGGCAGAAGCATGTACCTTGCTTCATAACAACGTGCTGTGCTATCTGCTGCCTTTTTTTTGGCATGTTTCTCTTCAACTGTTGATTGTAGCAGTATGTTGTTTGCAAAGCCAACATCTCTCCTTCCTCCTTGTTGTTTAAAGCTCTGGCCTTGGGTTTATTTGTCCTAGCTTGTAAAGTGAGCAAGGGAGACAGCAACTTAAGATATGTCTAAATAGTCAATGAGGGATAGGACCCTTTTTAGAAGACAGCATGTTTTTTTCTGGTGAAGTGTATCTTTTAGGGTGATGTGTTCATATTTACAAGAGAAGAACAAAGCCCTTTTTGGCAAACAGGTCAGACCATATYGTCAGTCACGCTTTCCTAAGCCTCCTTATCATGAGAGAAGAAATCCCTTTTCAAAAAGGATCATGAGTTYAGCATGTAACTGCAGAAAGAGTGTTAACTTGTATGTTCTCATTCTAGCAGGTATCTTGAGGACATCATGAATTGGAATAAAGGCGGACCTGGTACTAAGAGAGGCTTTGGTTTTGGTGGATTTGCCATAACACCTGGAAAGAAGGAGGAACCGAAGCTCTCTCAGCAGTCTCACAGTGCTTTTGGAACAGCTGGTTCTTCTGCTGCATTCTCAAAATCCGGACCTCCACAGCTGCCTTCTTTTTATAAAATTGGGTCAAAGCGAGCAAATTTTGATGAAGAGAATGCGTAAGTAGTGTTTTGTGTTCCTCCAGTTCTAGATTTAAGAGTTTTATAGTTTCTAAGGTCAGGAAAAGTATCTGTGACATTCATGAGGTTTATGCTTTCAGAAAGACCTGCTCAGGAGTGGATAACCTAACATTGCACTTTTGTGTAACAGAATTCTGGTGGCAATCATATCAAGAAAAAATAAGCTAGTTGCATGCAGGAGCTCCCAAACCACTGCCTCTGACAGTCAGAAACTTCACTTATTGCATGTTGAAAATGATGCCCAGTTCATGTGCTCTGATCTAGAGATAGTGAGGTGCTAGAGATGATGGATTTACATCCAAAATAGGTCAGGACTTTGTTGGAGACAGATGGTAAAAAGCTGAGCCTTCAGTAAGGGACCGAAGATCAGTCCATAGTTTCAGCCTTTTCTAATCACTATCGAATGTAGATTCTGRTGGTATTTTTCCAAAAAAATATTTCTCTACTACTTGGCCCTCTGGGATGGAACAGGAGAGATCTTGCTCTGCAGCAAASTCGTGGTGTGGACATGGGCCAGTTTGCCCTGTCTCTGGATCTCAGCCCATTATCTGTAGGATGAAAATAGTAATGCTTCCTTGCCTGTTAATATATTTAAAAGATTGTGAGATGTTACAGTAGTCTAGGGAGAGCTTTCCTCTCCCTAGGAACATCTCAGAGCTGAGCCTCAGCCAACCCAATCCGCTCCGTGCTCTTGTCTGCACAAGACTTTGCTTGAGGTTATACGCTGRTTCTTCAATTCTGAATGTGGGGTATCTTTCACACACTGAAATATCCAAACKGTCATTATTTTCCTAAGCCTTCTGTTGGCTACATAAATGCAGTGAATAGGAAGGTTTATAGAGGAGCATTCACCAACTGTATTCACCAACTTGAGAGAGCCCTTCAAGAAGAGGTTTGGTTTCATCACACCTACTTGCCTTACCACAACTTTTTAGCTTATAACATGAACAATTGTAAAAAAGGAATCTCAAGCTTTTTAGTGTGACGTTTTCTGTCCACGTTAACTTTTATTATCCATCTTGACATGGGAAGCTTGAGTCAATAGCTACTTAGACTGCTGTAGGTAGTACACTGACTAGACTGCTGTTTCTCTTTCTTCTCAGATACTTTGAGGATGAAGAGGAAGAGAACAGCAATGTTGACCTGCCGTATATTCCTGCAGAAAATTCCCCCACTCGCCATCAGCTTCATTCCAAATCCGCAGACTCTGACAGYGATGATGATCCTCTGGAGGCATTCATGGCTGAAGTGGAGGCAAGACACGGCTTGTGAAATCTTTATTAACTTCTGTGACTCTACTCTCTAGTCAGGAGCAGGAAATGTGCTCATGGTTTTAGCAGTCTTTATTCAGAGTGTCCCTTATTATTTGTTTTCTATGTTAGATATTGTGTTAATTAGAACTCAAAGGTATATTGGATCAAGGTATTTTGGGTTTTTTTTTGGATTTACAGTTGCTTAACAGTTTAAGTATATTGAGCATGTTAAGGCAGTACAACTAGCTTTGTGGTGAGCATCTTTCACAATCTGAGTTTGATGATTTGTATTYATCATAAGGAGTTTTTTAGCTGCAGTTCTATTAGCTGGATTCTATCACACTGTTTTCAAGAAGAGATTGTATTTTTCCTTGATCATCTCTACAGAGTTAAAGGATATAAATTCCAAAGGAATTGGAAGTACGATTTATTTAGCATAAGAGGATGTGGAACAAGAGGAAGTTTTGTTCAAAAAGTATAGTCCCTGTGATGTGATGGTTTAGTTGTAATTGATTTCATTCTTATTACGATATCAAGAGGAGGAGGAGGAGAAGACTTTATTCTGCTTTGCAGTATGAATCTACATTTATAATTCTATATAGAAACATTTTTTTTCTTTCTACACTTTACTATCATATTCCATGAATCACAATTTTGTGTGCTATTAGGATCAAGCTGCTCGAGACATGAAGAGACTTGAAGATAAAGACAAGGAGAAAAAGAGTGCAAAGTAAGTTCTCTTCTGTAATTCACATGCCTGCCTGTCTCTTTTACAATGCATAAATAATTTCAATRCATTTTGTTGATGTTCATACTTCTATACATACCATAATATATATCTAGAAAATAATATTGACCAGTGCATGATATCCCCCCATGAGTAAGCTGTGTGCAATAACAATCAGATGATAGGAGGAAAGAATCTGTGGAGGCATCCTACAGTAAAATGTAGACACACTTGTTTTRTCTTACACCAGAGTTCTTTCCTCAGAAGTGTTGGGGCTCACAGATGAGATATTAGACAGATCCCTGGCTTGCAGCACCTTTAATTACTGTCAGCTTGCCAAATTAGTTGTGAAGAAAATCCCCTCTTTCCCTACCCTTGCAGTGATCAAGAAGGTTTGGTTCAAAACTACATTTACTTGAGCAAAATAAATTGTTCAAGTTTCTGCTGTGATTTCTGCTGTGCTTGAAATACTGGAGATACTGGAGAGTCTTAAGTTTTAAGATACACCTTGTAAAGCTGATACATTGTGTAGCATGTGGCAATAGGGATATTAAATTCCAAGTTTAAATGCTTTACAGTTTTGCACGTTGCCTAGACCAGGGAGAAAAAATGTTGGTTCTTGAAATGATTGTCAGATACATTGGTAGAACTTGCATTGCATGGGGTTGATCAGATTATACGTGGTCCTGAAACAGAACACCGGATCCAAATCACCACCTGGGGAAGTTCTGAACTGGATTTGCACTTCCTGGCTCATATTCCTCTTCAGTTATGGGACTTCTGGTAGCATCAAGAGCTTAGACCAGGATGATCTTTGATGTGGCGTCTACCGGGAAGACGGAAGCCTAATCTTTCAGTCTCATTAATAGAAGTAAAATGAAGTCTTTGCAGGGCCAATGTTACGGTTGCACCAAATATGAAAACTCCATGGGTTGGGATTTTAAGTGTTACTGAGTTGTTAGTGTTGTCCTCCACTAAATATGGAACTCAGCACTAATCAAATGAAAGTATGGAGCTGCGTATGTGGAACACTTGCAGGGAAGTTTGTTTCTCCGCTTGTTTTTCCAGGGGTATTCGAGATGACATTGAAGAGGAAGATGACCAAGTGAGTTCCTATGCAGTCTTTCTATCTTCTATTTTGTTTTTTATCTTTCCTCCCCAAATATGTAACTACTAGGTACAAACAAAACTCCAGTATCATGCACAATACTCTGGACAATTCAGCAGGAAGCTCTAGCATTTATGCTTTTGTCTCCACCCTTCTAGATGCTTTACTAAAAAAGGAAGAGTGCTAAGAAACAGTTTCATTCTTTTTCACTCCATTTGAGAAGATTTTTCAGTCAGTTTGACTTTCAAGTTCTTAAACTTTTTTATTTTCAGTGTCCGAGACTGTCATCAAATTTGCAGTCAACAGAATCAACTAATATGGAGCACCAGTGAGAGGTTATTTAACTGTGGAGATACTTGTAGTGATTTTTTTTTTTTTTTTTTTTGATCAGGGAAGCTCCAGTTCTGACTGAAGGCTGAAGGGTTGTAGGCATCACCTTAATGCAGATTGCAAGGAAAGAGGAAATTAATTTCAAAACGTACCTTTTTACTAAGTTGTAATTAGTAGCTATGGTGTTACTTATAGCAATGCAGAGCACAGAAGAGTCGTCTTAGCTCTCAGGTTTTGCTTCTGAATCAGTGAGAGTAGACTAAGCTTTCCACGAAATTGAGTTCCACTTGCCCACAGCTGTTATTCAGATGTATTGTATGCATCTCTGTGTGACTAAGTGATTAATTGGCCACATGAATGAAAAAGCCACATTTGTTCCTAACTGAACCTCRCTTTAAAAATGTGATCTTAAGCCTTTGTTTGAAAGGCAAGTGAGATCGGTGTTTTTCCAGGAGAATGTCTTGGTGTGYGGACTGCAAGCGAGACCTAAATGGGTTTCTGCCCGTCATGAACATATTTGTGATCTGTAAGGGTGGCCTGTGACAGTGGTGTCAGTGACTTCTAACTTGGGCTTGTGCTTGAAGGACTCTTCTGAAATAGTTGACAGCAGACAGAGAAAAAATTGTCTCAATGAAAATTATTTTATTTACTAGAGTGTAGAGCTGAAGAAAACGACTTTTGACATAGCTTGTACAAAAAGAATTAAACATGATATATTTAGTTACATGGTGTTCTCTGTTTAAAAACGTACAGGATTTGTACTCTGCATGGAAGTATGAATAGATCCTTCTGTTGTTAAAGTGTAATAAGTCTTGTAAGAGTTTCTCGAGCACGCTTTTGAGAGAAGAGTTCTTTGTTTTATTTTTGTTTGTTATTTAAGCATTTTTTGTTCAACTGAACGTTACTGCTTTGTTTGTTTCTTATTATCCCTCTTCTGGACTTAGGTGTTGCTATTTATTARAAGGAACCAGTTCTAGTGCACGCTTTGTTTCTCAGTAGTAGGTGTTAATGCAAGCAGCCATCTAATGTCTACATCCACGAAACACATGTAGTAGTATTTTTCTATCCTATTGTATGCGATTTTASTGCTATGTTTTGCTGCAGGAAGCTTATTTTCGCTACATGGCCGAAAATCCCACCGCTGGTGTGGTACAAGAAGAGGAGGAGGATAACCTTGAGTATGACAGTGATGGGAATCCAATTGCACCATCCAAAAAAATCATTGATCCTCTTCCACCTATTGACCATTCAGAGGTAGGAGAAGAGCTTATTCCGTTTTGGTTTAGTTTGAGGGATTATAGAAATCTGTTGGTAGGAGGAGGCTAAAAAATAAATTGAAAGCCAGCAACTGGTATGTAAGTGTTCTGTCACTTGAATCATACTGGAGTTCCTTAAAATGGCTTTATAGTAAATAAGCGTCCTTAAGACAATTAATATTTTTTTTCCTAAAAGAACACTTTGCCGCAAAAGCAAGTGTACAGAGGACCCTGACTTCTGAGCTAACTGAGTAATAACCATTGCAGATTGAATATCCACCGTTTGAGAAAAATTTCTATGATGAGCATGAAGAAATCACCAGTCTCACCCCACAGCAAGTGGTAGAGTTGCGTCATAAACTAAATCTGCGGGTAAGCTGGTCCTCATTCAATGGTAAAACCATCCTCTTGTTACTCTTGTTCTTTTGGATTTTCTTAGTAGCTKCAATGAAGGTTTCCATGGAGAATTCCCAAGTTTTTAATACCAAGACTCTTGCATACCTTCAATCACTGGGATCAAAAATAGCTTGCTTTCCTTCAGTAGTTCTTTAAAGTCCTTTAAAGTGGGTGCCCAAAGTAGTAGTGGCAAAGTGGTAGATCATAGAATGCCCAAGGTTGGAAGGGACCTCAGAGGTCGAGTCCAACCCCCCTGCACACGCAGGGTCACCTAGAGCACGTGGCACAGGGCTGCATCCAAGTGGGTTTTAAAGATTTCCAAAGAAGGAGACTCCACAACCTCTCTGGGCAGCCTGTTCCAGTGCTCTGTCACGCTCACAGTGAAGAAATGCTTCCTTAAGTTCCTGTGGAACTTCCGATGCTTCAGTTTGAAGCCATTTCCTCTAGTCCTATCACTGTCCACCACTGAAAAGAGGCCAGCCCCCTCCTCCTCCCTCCCTAGTTCTTTAAAGTGGGTACTCTTCTCAAAGTGGATGCCCAAGTTGCACATGAACTTAAGGCTACAGAGCTAGAAACTGAAACTAGAAATGCTATATGCAGGAATGAGTTCTTTGCAGTCTGTGACATGTTAGAATAGCTAACTTCTAAGTAGTAATTATCTGCTAATTATCTGCCAAGGATAGAGACCTATTATACAAGGAAGTAGATATGATGGTTTTGATACATTAGCAGTTCTGATAAACTAGCAGTTTATCTTTTTTTTTTGTTTTGTAGCTGAAAGTCCTGTTTACACAATTCATCTTGAATTTTTACTCAGTAAAACTTCAGAAAATCAATAGCTATTTTCTGAGATGAAGTTGTACCTTTTTCATTTTCATTTAYATTCTTTTACTTTTTTTTGAACCATAATCTGTTTCTATTTCTAGGTCTCTGGTGCTGCTCCTCCACGGCCTGGTAGCAGTTTTGCTCATTTTGGTTTTGATGAGCAACTTATGCATCAAATTAGGAAATCTGAGTATACCCAGCCCACTCCTATACAATGTCAGGTGAGTGTTGATACTTCTAAACACAATTAATGGAACATAGTCAAAAAAGTCAAAAYATGCTAATTGCTTCCAGCCCTTAAACTAATTCTGATCAGAACCTAACAATAAAACTATATRAGCATCCTTGTCTACTGCTGTGGGTCGCCTGTAATGTGCATTCTTTTTCTATCTGGGTATGCATATAGTGTCCACAAGAATATCTTAAGTTAAACATAACAGGAGTTTAGAATCCCCTTTAATTTTTAGGGTGTTCCAGTTGCACTGAGCGGCAGAGATATGATTGGAATAGCTAAGACTGGAAGTGGAAAAACAGCAGCCTTCATTTGGCCGATGCTGATTCACATCATGGATCAAAAGGAGCTTGAACCGGGAGATGGTCCGATTGCTGTGATCGTATGTCCGACCAGAGAGCTTTGCCAACAGGTAGACATATAATAAATATACGTATATGCTTATATTTTCTTATAGAATGAAAATATTCTTACAGAAGAAGGCTCTGTCCAGGGCTCTGTCACCCTCACAGTAAACAAGTTGGGCTCTGTCCCCCTCACAGTGAAGAAGTTCTTCCTCATGTGGAGGTGGAACTGCCTGTTTCATCTGTACCCATTACCCCTTGTTTCATTATTCCCTGAAAAGTGGCTTTTAGGACCTGGATTGTATTTCCAAGATGGATGTATTTTCTCAGATGCACCTAACATGAACTGTGATGTGCTTTCTTTAAATTCTCAGATACATTCTGAATGTAAACGTTTTGGGAAAGCGTATAATCTACGCTCTGTAGCTGTGTATGGAGGAGGAAGCATGTGGGAGCAAGCCAAAGCCCTCCAGGAGGGGGCAGAAATAGTTGTCTGCACACCAGTAAGTACCTCTATGCATACAGAACAATTCTTTTTGCTGAAGCTGAGAGAGATTTATAATCCTGTTAATGATGGAGAATTTATTACCTGATCACTTAAATCCAGGATCTTTCTAGATTATGTTGAGGACAAATACTGTTGAATTAATTTTTGGCCTTCCTTTTTTTTCCGCCCCGCCATAGGGTCGTTTGATTGATCATGTGAAAAAGAAAGCTACGAACCTTCAGAGAGTCACTTACCTTGTATTTGATGAAGCAGACAGAATGTTTGATATGGGTTTTGGTATGTATTGAACAAAGGTTGCTGTTTTGCAAAACAGTGATGTCTACTCCCCAGCTATTATTGATTAGAGCATTTTTTTCTCTCTCTCTCTCTTTTCAGAATATCAGGTCAGATCAATTGCAAGCCACGTACGTCCAGACAGACAGAGTAAGTATAAGCATGTTTTAAAATAAACTTCTTGAGTCSAAGGAAACTGTAGGTGGGCTACCAGGTAAGGTTATGGAAAAGAGCTTGAGGTTCTGTTTCCTTTTCTAGACRCTCACAAGATGAAGCTTTTGTAAGACTTCAGTGGTGTTTTTCTTGATGTAAGCTATTTGGAGGAAGCCGTGTTATATGTAGGAGTTTAACCACATTATTCATCWGTCTTTAATCCCTCCACCAATTTTACTCAGAGGAAAGAAGAAAACCTGAATTAATAGTCATGTGTTTGCAGATCCTGTGATCTAACATGCCCTTAAAAGTGCACCTTATTCTCACAAAGTAGCGTGAATTATAGTTTTCGTTAGAGCTGGTAAACAAGGTTATAGCTGCAGATCACAGACATGTAGTACAGTCCTAYGGGTCCTTATTCACAAGATCTGTGCAGTGTTTTCACAGTTCTGAAAGGAAGTTTGTTTCAAGGAGTTCAAATACTTTTTGTTTGTTTGTTTTCCTTGTTTTTCTTTTAGCCCTCTTGTTCAGTGCCACTTTTCGTAAGAAGATTGAGAAATTGGCCCGTGATATTCTCATTGATCCAATTCGAGTCGTGCAGGGAGACATTGGAGAGGTAATTCCACATTACTTCTGAAATGGAAAAACAAACCATTCTATGCAATCACAGAGTTCCTCTTATTGTTTCTTTGATCTCAGTTATACTTGGAGAACCATCCTTGGGTTCATCATCCTTGGGATAATTAATGTGTAGATATTTAAATCTTCTAGAGAATCTTCCAGGTAGTGCTGTCTGCTCCACTGCACTTTTATTACGTTCAGTACAGATTGCATAGGGAATCTGTGTATACCTCTCCCCTTCATGACTGAGATCACATCATAGCTCACAGGAGTGCTTTCTCTGATCACCATATGAATAATTTTTAATCATGAGCATTCACTCCATCTCAGACCATGCCCTTGCACAGTCTATTTCAGATGTTAATACAGTCTATTTTAGATGTTAATAGCATCTGACACAAGAACATCTGAATTGTAAGTATCCATCTTTAGATCAATAGGGTGCTAAACTGCCTCATGTCAAAGACTGTGCTTTGCCTCTAGTAGGTTTTCAGAGCAATTTGTTTAACCCTTGCCTTTTCTGCAGTATGAAGGCAAGRTTGTCAGTAGTTAGGCAAAAAGAAAATGAGTAAAACACCTTTCAGCTTTCCAGCTTATTTCCCCCTTCTATCCTCAGACCTAGTTTAAATTCCTGGGTTGTATTCTGCCATCTGTGTTTGTCATACTGCCCTTTCTGTTGTGCATTGCTGCTTGTCTTTATTCCTCTAGGCAAATGAAGATGTTACTCAAATTGTGGAGATTTTCCCCTCTGGCCCTAGCAAATGGAACTGGCTGACTCGGCGCCTTGTGGAGTTCACGTCTTCTGGGAGTGTTCTCCTCTTTGTCACCAAGAAGGCAAATGCAGAAGAGCTGGCCAATAACCTCAAGCAGGAGGATCATAATCTGGGGCTGCTTCATGGTGACATGGATCAGAGTGAGAGGAATAAAGTCATCTCAGAATTTAAGAAGAAGGGGATCCCAATACTGGTAGCAACTGATGTGGCAGGTGTGTGGTCTTCTCAGAAATTGTTTGCAGAAGTTGTAGAACTCAGAAGAGACACTAACATATATCAGTGGGAATGGAAATACTGTTCTCTTCACAAAGAGCAGGTGTCATGAGATAGCCCTAAATTTAAAGAGTCCCTTAAGATGCACACTAATGCCGTTTTGAAGTTTATTTACTTTAATATAACTGTCGTGGATGGACCTTCCTGATACGTAATAATGAAAATAAAGGGAAAACAGTAGAGTTCTACACATTCCAGGCTATATTTTCCAGATGTTTTTCAGATATGTGCTGTATTAGGAAGAGATCTTTAAATATTTACAATCTTACGGTGGTTTACTGCAATGTGACAGGTATATTTTTCAGTATACAGTAAGGAAATAAGTTGCCCCTTAAAGAAGCAGTTGCTGTTTACTGATCAGCAGAATCATGTCTGAAGCCTTCTCTAGAACAGCTTTTATGTCATTCTCTTCCTCTGTGGAATTACAGCTCGTGGATTGGACATTCCTTCCATTAAGACCGTGATCAACTACGATGTGGCCCGGGACATAGACACGCACACTCACAGGATCGGTCGCACTGGCAGAGCAGGCGAGAAGGGAGTAGCCTACACACTGTTGACTCCAAAAGACAGTAACTTTGCTGGTGATCTTGTCAGAAATTTGGAAGGAGCTAATCAACACGTTTCCAAAGAGCTGTTGGATCTTGCAATGCAGGTATGAAAAATCAACATGTCTTGAGAACAGGAAGGTTCCTTCCATSATTAGTGGAATGAACAAATCAGGAGATTGGAGACTTTGACTCCATATGTTTGCAGTGACCTTTTTGCAATCTACATTGCTTTTAAGTAGGCTTTCCAGGGGCTTTAAGGCCCTTGGAAAAAACCTGGCATCACCATATGAAAAAAATGCTTTTTTTAGCCTCTTGCATTTATCGAGTTTGGATTTTTTYGTTTGTTTGTTTTTATSATCTGYGTTGAGAAGCATTTTTTTTTCTCTTATATAGAACCCATGGTTCCGGAAATCCCGTTTCAAAGGAGGAAAAGGCAAGAAGCTGAATATTGGGGGAGGTGGCTTAGGATACCGTGAACGTCCTGGTCTGGGATCAGAAAGTTCTGTAAGTTGAAATGTTGAAGTTGTTTGCTTGAAACGGTTTAAACTTGGAATTGACTTTTTTTAACTTGAAAATTCTTATCACTGAAATACAGCCTCTGCTTTCAATGGTTTTAATAGCATAGAATCTTTCAAAGTTTATATTAGAAATATCTCCGGTGAAGTTRCTTGTCCTTTATTTTCATCCTGTTGCCCAGAGCTTCTTTGTATAGACCAGCATGATCCAGAAGAGAYTGGAGATTCTTCCCAAAACAAGCTGTCAGTGCAAAATTTTGGGAGTCCTAACTATACTTRATACATGCAACTGTATAATACACATGCCAATAATTTACTCAAGAGGCTGATTTTTGGCACAAAAAAGCATTGCAGCGTTCAGACTTGGTGCACCTTTACTTTCCTGCTATCCTCAAGGTCGTGGGACAAGTGCTCCGCAGAAGTTTGTGATCGCTGTTTGTGATCACAGTTTGTGAAACACGTGGCCTGAGCACCGGGTGGAAATAGGTTTGGAGAAGGGCTGGAGTCGAAAGTGTCTGAGTTGGATAAATCTCTCCTATTTTCCTTTTCTTTCACCTTAGGACCGTGGAAACAACAGCAGTGTGATGAGTAACTATGAGGCCTACAAGCCATCCTCAGGGGCGATGGGAGACAGACTTACAGCAATGAAAGCAGCTTTTCAGGTTGGTGTCATGACTAGTATCCCAAGATCGAACTTGCAAGGAAATAACAGTAAATATTTTTACCACTGATGATTCAAGACAGTTTTTTTTTCTCCTCTGAATGTGTGGAAACCCTGTTGACTTAAGGGAAGTTGAGTTTGGGGGTTGTGTCCATATCTCAGCTGCTTGGAGCACTCAGTAGTGTCGTCCAAAGTGGAAGGATTAGTATGCAGGCTAGATTCAGCAAGTTTGCGTAATGTGAATTTGCCCAACTTTTTTTTTTTTTTTTTTTTTTTTTTTTTTTTCTGTGCTGCCTATCTGTTGTTTTTTTTCCCTTTTGGATTCTGCTGTTAGCCTGGAGCATTGAGATTGCTTAGTAGCAATAGCGTAATTGCAATCAAAACAAATGAGGAACAGAGAAAGTGGAATATAAAAACTCGTGAGGATAAAAATTGACCCCACAATTCCWTTGTTTTTATGGCCTGCTAGCAGATGCCTGTTACTGATTCTACGTTCCTAAGCACAATAGGAATGTAGTCACTCCCAGGCTGACTTTTTTTAAGGAGCCCTTTTCCCTAGGGATTCCCCAAAGTCCAGGACGGGTTGGGTGTGCACGGTGACTGTTCTGTGGTGCGGTGCAGGGGCAAACATGCTGTCTTTTCTTTCCTTGTTTGCTATAGTCCCAATATAAGAGCCACTTCGTTGCTGCAAGCCTTAACAACCAAAAGACGGGTAGCTCGGCCGCTGGCGCTAGCGGCTGGACCAGCGCCGGGAGCTTGAATTCGGTCCCGACGAGTTCAGCGCAGCAAAGTGCTGCCAACGCCGAGGGCTCCATCGCAGCTGCAGCCAAAGGTGTGCCAGGCTTCACCAGCTCTGGGAATCTGAGCAGYGTTCCCACCTTCCCAAGCGTTGGAATACAGGGCTTCAACAGCGCAAATGCCAGCAGCAACAGTCGGGAAGGCATCAATGGTGGCGGTGGTGGTGGTGGCAGGGAACGATGCAATGACAACCGGAATAATCGCCACAACGATGTTCAGCGCCGTGCGGAGGGTCCTGGGCGCTACAACGATGCTCAGCGCCAGGGAGAGGGTCCTGG